AGCCTGTCCACGAGAAAACCGAGCAAAACCAGGCAGGGGGCGATAAACCTCAAATCACCGATTTGGCTCAAACTTGGCACAAATGCTAAGTATCATTAGTTAACAAATGTGTGAAAATAATAGGTCAAAATATTTAATTTCCTGGGGGATATCGGGTCCCCCTGGGAAAACCTCCATTTCCTGCATTTTTTGCATAATTATTTAGCTAACTTTGCATTGGTGCTGTGACAAACTGAAAATCCATCTGCAAATTCAATCAACTGGGATGTATTTTATATTTATCAGACTTCTAGAAAATTGAATTGTTTTAACTTTTTCATTTCAATTCTTCCCTTACCTCTCACTTAAGTAAAGACGACTTTTTCTGGTTTTGACAAAGTCCACAAATAAGGGTATTTTAAGGCCCAATATCTCCGATGAGCAACCACTTCTGATCATTATTCTGTATGGGCAGTGAAAAGCATCACTGGACTTCCAAAATCAGTAATAAAATTTTTGAACAAATTATTTCATAGCCCTTGCTGACGTGAAATTTACATCTACCTCCCGCTTTTTAGTCTATATCATCACAATTCCGTACACCACGTCTTTGTTGTATTACCTTAAAATAACTTGAAATTTACAAGAAATTTCTCAGAGTATCGTTTAAACATGAACGAGGAGAGAATATTTGAATAGCGCAAGTTGAGCCAATTTTGAGAAGTTTTTTCGTAGCAGGTTCCAGGCTGTGATTGCTAACAGATCTTTTATTTTGAATCTTCAACGTCATATATACTTCCAGTTTTAATGAGCTTCTCGGGATATCGCAACGATTTATGGCTCTTCGTGACTTATAAACAGCTTTAAATATATTAGCAGAAAGCTGAAAAAAAAACCACAACATCAGCATCGATTTGCAACCTTATCATCAACATTATCAAATGCAACCATCTGGTGAATCAATGGGAGTCTTTATATCACGCATGAAAAACAGAACATAATGATTGGTAAAAGAGACACGTCTTATGTAAATTGAACTGCAGACTTTGCATTATGGCTCTGACAGACACAAACAATCACGACCACTCTGACTCGATTAGTGATTACGCTTAATAATGTATATCGTTTGTTAGGTGAGCTCCGCTTAACATTTTGACAAAAAGCAAATGAGCTGAGTGGACTCTTCCTTCGCCGATCAGTTGACAAGAGAACACGCTGATTTGATTGTTGCATTCGTTGGTTCGATAAGTAAACATATTAGGTTGATGAAAAACACACTGGCTCAAGCACATAGAAGTTCAAAGCTGAAACAAAAGCATCCACCAATGCTGCTTAAGTAAACCAATGGGAGCCAGCAAGTACACTATACAGAGCCACTTTTAACAAAAGCATAAACCTTGAGGCTCATTCGGCTCGTTTAGGCTCAACAGAGGATAAAAGAAAGAGGATTAACGAATATACGCACTCAGGTCAGGGCCCATTTTGGTTCGTTAGGATGGGCTGCGGATGAAAGAACAAGGAATACTCTATATGCGCGCTAAGTTGTAGCTCTCATAATATTTATTGGCCTGTTCAGTGCATGGACATTAGTTGCCCTGTATTCTGTATTTTAGCTGAACAATGTTACAACATGAGAACAGATTTCCTTCTAAACCCACACTATTCTAAAAGAAGTCGTAGTCCTAAGGACATTCTGTTGTTNCTTAGCGAACTCGGGAGCTTGAACGTAAAACAGAAATATAGCAACGTAACTCCAGCAGAAATTGCCTTACCGATTGCAGGAACACTTTGCACAGCGTTATCATTTCCCTTCATTGTGATCTCCTTGTTAGCTTCATAAGCAAACGACAGTAAGCACAACAGCACATTTTTGATTAGTCTGATGACAAACTTACCATTCAGTAAGCTCCTATGCTTTTCGTTGTCACTTTTAAATAAGCGTTTCAACTCAGCATTTAAGGTTAATGGTAGTACAAGCCCATTCAGTCAGGCAGTACATAAAGGATAAACCAACCAAGTGGGGAATAAAACTGGGGGTACTTGCTGGTAGTTCCAGTGGTTATACCATAGACTTCAACATTTATATTGGGAGAGATGCTCCAGGAGGGATCAGTAAATTTGGGCTTGGGCGTGATGCTGCTGTTCAACCTATTTGTCCTTACTATAATCAAGGTTATCAGCTGTATATTCACAATTTTTATACTTCAGTTCATCTCATGAAGCATGCATTTATTTACTATGTTCCAGCGAATCTCAAGAAGGGAAAGCAATGGGGCAAGGGTAAAGCCAGGGGTAGCATGCGGTGGGAGAGGGCTCCGCCCTGCCTAGCCTTGGAGTGGGTCGAAAATAAAGTGGTCTCTATGATCACCACTTCTGGTAATGCTAATGACACTGTTCAGGTAAATCGCAAAAAGAGATCTGGTGGTGTGTGGAGTTCAAAAGAGGTACCTCAGCCTGGGTTCTTCGCAATGTACAATCAGTACATGAATGCACTGGATCGATCTGACCAGATTCTAACCACCCGCAGCGTGCATCGCAAAGCTATGAGGTGGTGGAAGACCTTATCTTATCATATGACTGATATTGGTGTTGCTAACGGTTTTATTTTATTGTTTTTAGAGAGCACCAGGCGAACAATCCGGATAATCCTGCCCTCAGAAGGAGCGCCGATGGTCCCCTTGCTTCAGCTGATCAAACCATAATTTTTATATCTTCTTGTTCAACCTCTATTTGGAGGCGAGTGGGGTCGGTTGTTATAATCTTAGCTCTGGCGTCTTAAGTGCAGTCGATAGGCTTCTTTCGATTTGACCCGTCTACACGGCTGGTCTCTTCTTGGTTTATAGATATACAAAACAGGTTCCAATAAATTAAAAGCCGATGAAAAAGTAAGCATGGAAGACAGAAAAACAGCGAGTGTCCAAAATATGAAACTAGCGTTATGGTATGTTCTGGCGGACAGTGATCTGGTGGTTAAACGGCCAGTATACTGCGTAAAATCTCTCGCAGAATATGAAGGTTACAGATAGATACGATCCGAACGCAAGAATGGTATCGATTCATTTAAAGACTAGATTGTAGCCGTATCTTGCTGTCCAAAGCTGATAGTCTCCTGCAACAGAACAGGGAGCTTTAGCAACTACGACGGCGACGGCAACGAAAACGTCGTGTCGAAATCTAACTTTTCGTTTTTGTAACTCTTTCGAGGTTATTCCGACGTGTTGGAAAATGCTGGCGAACTATTCAGGGAGTATATCACTACGAGCGGCGTTAAAGTAAAGAGAAAGAAAGAAAAGTTAACCGACATGCGCTCACGTTCTTGAGAAAACCTAAAGTTTGGTTATTTCACGTTGTTGTTTTGCCGAGAACGGCAAAGAATGTACCAAAATGTTAAACGCACGTGTAGGGCGATTTTTTTTTGCTCATTAAGCCTATTGTTTTCTGCCATTCTCGTTGCCGTCGCCGTCGTCGTTGCTAAAGCTCCCTAATAAATGTAAAAGGTTACGGAGTAGGCTCGTAACATCAGATCAGCGAACGCCATGTTCATAACTAGAAATAAACTTTTCCTGCGAAGTGGTTTTGTAACTGCAAAGATAACAAGAGTGGGCAAGTTTCCCGCAGTGATCAGGACAGACGATAACATGAAGGCGCCGCACAATGCAATGCCTTCTGCCTTGGAAAGAGATTTTTTTGCGTATTCGGACGCAGTTTTCAGGTTATCGTTTACTGTCGACGTGTCAATCATTGTAAACTTGTAACTGAATAATTTGAGGTAAACAGTTTTATCGGAGAAAGACGAAATTTTTTAGAGGAGAAGAGCTCAGGCCTCTGCAACAACACAAATCAACAACGGATGAAAAGTTATTTCATAATTTTATTCAAGGAGTTCCTGTAGTCGAGGTGAACAATATCCTAATACATATCAGTTGATCAAACAAACGGTGTCATCTGCTCATTCCTTTTTCTGTAAATTTTAATACTTATTTAATAGGGTTTACTAAATTTTTTGCTTGGCTCAAAACTTCTTCACAAGCCGACTAGGGCGTTATTAGTTCATAATCAGAGATAATCTTCATTTGAATGAGAACTGTAATAACTCCTCAGGATAACTTGTTCTGGACACATGACACTTGTGCCATATTCAATTTCTAATTTTGCATAAACAGTCGCTCTACACCGTTGAATATAAGTGATTCATGATAATAAGAGAGAGAAATACCAATAAATTTTTATCTCAAGCAAAGTACATTAACACCACTCATTCGTTCTAGGAAACTTTGCGTCTTCTACTTGGATCTTAAAAGTATTTATTATAAATTTATGTTTGAGGCTGAAGTAGCTTTCATACGGGCTGAGCTCGCGTGCAGATGTTTTCTGTATCCAGTACTCTTAAAATGCGTTTTAAAATTGTCTTTGATCTAAGAACGTGATCATTATTTTTATGATTTAACTGCGCCTCAACGAAAAGAAAAACGAACTAAAGGTGGATTAATTTTTATTTTTTAAGGCAGTGTGACCTTTAAACATTTCCCCTCTTCTATTTCATTTCTTTGATTAGGATCTTGTGGAGTTTTGAAAGCCTGCTTTCTATAGGCAGACGATAAGAAAGGTCTGAAAGCCTTAAACAGGGGTGTGAATTTAACTGAGGAATGACACTAGGACTACAAAGAGTTTTATTCTTGTGTAAAATGGCAACATAATACACTCACAGAGGATAACTGAAATAGATAAATCGAATCCCTCGATGAGATCCAAACTTCACTTTCTGCAAATTCGGATTCATTCTTTGACTTTTGTTCTCTGCCGACGTTTAATGACCATATAATTATAACTGAAAGATTTAGGGTGAACACTTTCTTTTTTTTTCAGTAAAAGACGAGGCGTTTCAAAGGAGAAGAGCGCAAAGTTTTGCAACTTGAAATAAGATCAGCTGAAAAGTTATTATAATTTCATGGTAATTTTTTTCGAGGTAGTCATGTGGTCGAGATAGGAAAAACATTTTAAGCTAATGCAGTGCCACGTAGAACCCTTCATGTCACGATATGAGCGTATTCATGAAATAACGTGACAAATGTTGATATTTTTCTGTTAACACATGTAGAACTGTTCAGTTGTCTGGTAAGGTTATCAAATATTTCTTGCCTGGATCAAATTTCTTTACAAGCGAGGGCTTTAACATTTAACAGTGAGACGAAGAACTCGTGTGTTTCATGTATCTCAAGGGGCTTCTAGCGTTATAATTTTTCAAATCTTGCATAAATTAAAACGTTTATAAGGACCAAGAGAGGACAATATAGTAAAGCAAGAAAGTGTGAAAAAAAAGGGTCTGTCAAGCGTCTGCTTCGCGACGCTCTTTTTTGCTGTTGTACGTAAGGCAACACTTTCTAGTTGAAATTTTCTCCAGATTCCTAAGTTACACTCAGACACATATGATGATTGTTAGACTTAACAGAACAGGAAAAGCTACATACAAAGCAGATTTACACTGAACTAAAAACGACAGCAAAGTTGATATTGTGCACTGAAAGACGACGGAGTTCCAAAGTAGGAAATTGTGATGCGGTATTTTTTTGGTAGATAATGATGCTTTTCTAGGCTCCATGCCGGATACGGTTTAACTTAACTCTCTAACATGCAGGCCACAGGAACTTCATAACACTCCTCTATCCATTCGAGAAAAAAATTTAACTGACTTGGGCTTGAAAGTCAGTGTTTTGATAAAGAAGAACTCGTTTTCCAATCCTCCACCTCAGTTGGAATATTTTATTGCCTATCAACACGATTAATTCCGCTAATTTTAACTGTGTCGTCCATCGACCTGACATCTATCTTATTGTACGTAATGTCAACATGGCTACCGGGTTTAATAAAGTATCATTTTTACTATAAAAGAAGATTTATTTCTTTCTAACATTTTTAATTAATTAATTAATTAATTGTGATGAAATTTTGTGGGCCGAGGCCAGGAACGTGTTCGATAATTGAGTCAGTTTGCTAGACATAACGTCTCGTAGTCACGTTCGACGCACTAAAAACTACTATAAAACGAATACAAGAATTGTAAAAACGTGTAAAATGGTATATAAAAAGTCACTTGTAAAAATGTAGCGGAATTCCAAATCGATTTCGATCAATTACGATCCTCATCAGTAGTACTCCGCCATGTTTAAAATACTCATAAATAATTGTTCATATAAGTGACTCTGAAATGTCCACACTTCTTCCAGGCTTCATGTAAGCGGTCATGATGTATCAATCACAGCTCGTGGGATTTGAAAAAAGTTCCATTCGTTCTTGGAGTTCATAAGCGAGTCTTCGTTCACATTATTTATCCTCACTCCTTCAGTTATTTGTCTCAGCATCGCGTCATTGTGATAAACCCCCGTCACATCCATTCGGAACTGCTTTACCTCTCTATTGTGTTTCTCTTTACAGTGTTTCCACAATGCAGATCGTTCTTCCTTATTGTTAAGTGATTTCGTATGCTCTTTCCCTCTGGTATACGAAGTCAGTTAACCAGTCAAAAAGCAAGTCAAGTGCCACTGAGTCAGTCAACCAGTCATTTATCTAGTCAGTCAATCTGTCAGACACTCAGCAATCTATAAGCCACTCAGTCAGCTGTCGGGCAGCAACTCAGTTGACCAGTCAGATAGCCTGTCGAGTTCCAGTCTGTACGTCGACGAATAAGTTAGCAGTTTAGTCAACCAATCAAATAATAATAATATAGATCAATTTCTATAGCGCATTTCCATGTAAATGCTCTAATGCGCTTTACAACACTGTGCGGGGGACTTTTCCAGACTGCCGGCGGCAGTTTACAATTAATAAAGGAGAAATTTTTACAGATGCCCCCTCCCCCCCTTCCCGTGATGTGGGTTCTTTAACGTCCCTTGCCGAAATTAACTAATTGATAGGTGCAGGAGACGGGACCTCCGGCTTTACGTCCTATCCGAGAAGACGAAGCAATGTGAGTGAAGCGTCTTGCTTAAGGACACAACGTCAAGCCCTAGCCAGGACTTGAACCCGGGCCATCTGACCTAGAGTCCAGCGCACTGACCTCTGGACTACTCACGCCTCACATTTTTAGAGCTGAATTTAACTTTTATTTAAAAAAAAACATTCGTGATGAGAATTTGCTTTATTTCAAAAATGTCCTTAAAATAGAAACGTCACCGTTATCATTATGACAAAAAGGAAATTACATGTTTAAACTGTCAGTTCAGAAGAAAAACAAAGACTAACGGGAAAGCCATTTTGGTTCAGAGGTGACGATAGCTGAGCACTCGTCTTTATTGCGGTTCACTTTTTTAACATAATGTCTTAAGCGGACAGAGCATAGCGTCCTTAAGAAGGCGACTGGGAAGGTCTGAGAAATAATTTTAGGGCTGCAATTATTATAATGATGCAGAGTTTAATTCGTTGGTGACATGACAAGATATTATACAGTGCAGGATAAATGAAATAGCAAATTTTCACCCTTGCATAAAATTCAGACTTAATTTGTGTGTACCGCTTAGGTAAAGTACCTCTGAACAAAAATGTTTCTACTGCAACAAAACCATGACAAACTGATATAAAAATTGTCCTATTTTCTAACGATACTCCATATTTATGGCTTTTCCCAGAATTAAAACAATGTAACTGAACGGAAGAAGAGTTTTGCAGCCATCATGGCAATTAAGTATCTATGTTCTAAAATTTCCAGTTTATTGAAAATTTGTAACTCACTACTCAGTATCAACGCCAAGGGTTCGCTTGCCTCGACTAATTAAATCTTAGTCTCTATATCTTCTTATTCAACCTCTACTCGCAGGCGATCGGTATCGATTGTCATAACCTTAGCTCTATCTCCAGCGTTTTAAATGCAGCCGATTGGTTTCTCCTTTCGATTTGTCCCATCTTCATTGTTGGTCTCTTCTTGGTGCAGCAAAAATTGAGCGCCTCCCGAACTCAGTAGGTTTGAATGGGCTACGAAGTGTTTTATTCTTGTGTAAAATGAAAAGAAGTTAAATAACATGTTCGAATCCTTGCATAAAATCTAAATTAACCTGACTCCTTACGATGGGCAATTTACATTACCTGCTCAGTTCATAAAAGAACGTTGTCTAATTACAAATGTGTTTTCAAATGTTCGTGTTCAAAATTTTCTTGCAAGTGAGTGGGATTGAATGAGAAGATTCTTAGCTCTATCTCCGACATTGTAGGTGCAGCCGTTCGGTCTCTATTTTCGGTTTGTTCCGTATCAGTTAAAGGCTGCTATCCTCTTTCTACAGCACGAACGCAAAGCCTGCTGAAACTCAGGAATTTTCATTGCATACACAACTGGATTGACAAAAGGTGAATAGCCCTAACAGCTAAACAAGTAAACAGACACAACCAGACTTTTTGGGTTGCTGAAGGCCGACTGACTTTCACATACAAGGGTTCAAGATAGTCAAGACAAGTGTATGTAAAGGATGGAGATTCTTGTATTCGTGATCGTGGATAGGGAGCCATTGCGGGCATTCTGTGTGGTCCTCCTTGATATAGTCCACATCTCAAGCATTTGAGTAGAACTCTTCGTACAGTTGCTCTTCCTTGTGGAATCCAGAACTCTCTTCTGGTAGCTGCTAAAGTGTGAGATGCATCGGCATGCATCAGCTTTTCATGGAAGCCGTTGATGACTAAGCTTGTGAAGACATGGTTCCTAGGAAGGAGTTTTGGGAACGCAGTGTGTTCTGGGAGGTTTTCACTGATTAATCTACCATGGCACCTTAGTACTCCGTGTTCATCCAACTGTAGGCCCAATTGGTTCGTCAGATTGTTTCTTGAATTTTTTTTGACTGTATTGATTTCTGGTGTAAATGCACTCTTTTGGACATACTTCTCCCACATGACTTTTGCTTGACTTATTTCGTCTGATGTAAGCTGTTCTTTGGTTGTGCTCTTCTTCTGTAGTTTTCGGATAAACCGCAAGGCCCAAGCGCTCACTCTAAGTAGTTTGGTAAGCGATGAGTAATTTCTTTCGCTGATCCCAAAGGGGGCAACTGGCTTGTTGAGTATTATTTTGCTGCTCTCTCTCGGTATTCCAGCCAGTGTTGTGGTCTCATACATAACACGTGGGCCAGGAAATTGTTTGGTATTCTGTTCAGACATCTTGCTGTCAAATTGTGTTGACTTCCATGACGGCCATTGTGATGGATGATCAGTTAACTACGATGAGCCATGCCACCACAAGTTATTCTGGATAAGTTCATCTGCTGAGACACCTCTGGTAGACAGATCGGCTGGATTTTGTGAAGTGGGCACATAGTCGAACTTCATGTCCCTATGTGAGGTAATCTCTCTAAGTCGGTTCTGAACAAACACAGGTAATGGCTTACAGGTTGTTATCTAGTGAAGTACATAGTGTGAGTCGGTCCACAGAAATCTATCCGCCACGGACAACTGAAGTTGCTGAGTTACATAGTTCAGGCATCTCGTTCCAATAAGAACACCTAGCAGCTAAAACCTTGGAATGCTGAGTTGTCTGGCTGGTGCGACGCGTGCTTTCGAAAATACCAGGTTGTCAGTTGCTTTTGCATTTACTGAAGAGTAGAGGTATACTGCTGCTGAATAGGCTTTGGCAGAGGCATCTGTGAAGCAGAACAGTCTGTGTTCATCCCCACCAACATATCTGGGTAATGACTGTGAGGACATTGGAGTCAGGTTCTCATATATCTTGTTCCATGATTGTTGACTTGACTGACTGAATGTCTCATCCCAATGTTTTTCTTGTTTCCACAGTTCCTGAATGAACAGCTTTGCATTCAGTGTGGCTGGGGAAAAGAGACCCAATGGGTCGTAAATTCTGCTGACAGACTGCAATGCTTCTCTTTTGGTGTTCACGTTGGAGGAGAGATTGCGAGATCCATTGATAAAAATGGTATCTGTAGTCAAATTCCAGGAGGTTCCTAGGACTTTCACGGTTTCTGCACTGGTTCCATCACATTCTGGGATATTCTGGAGAAATTCAGAGGAGTTTGAAGCCCACTCACGAAGATTGATTGATGCAGGTTGGAAGAGGGTTTTGGCTTCTTTGTACAGCTCATCTGCTTATGTTGATGTTTCAACGCCTGTAATCATGTTTTCTACGTAAATATTATCTGCTATCTGATGAGCGATGGGGGTATCAGCCTTGGTTAGATGATATTTGATCGTTGCAGCCAACGGAAATGGACTGGATATCATACCTAATGGGACTCTGGAGAATCTCAGTATTTGAACTGTTTCTTCAACGGAATTAATTATTAACGGACAATAGGCAAACTTTGATTGACACTTAGGAACAATTTGCACTTTGAATGGTTTTAGTTTCCTGTCTAGTCATAGCACGCTTAGGAAAAATGTGAATCAGCCGCTTACCAGGTACAGGAGTTTAAGTTCGCCGAGTTCGGTAATTCAAGCCGCAGTTTCAGTTCAGTAGTTCATAGTTTATTTGTTAGGGATCTCAACGTAGGTGAATACCACAAATAACTGTTGTGAAATTTGTTGATTTCAGATCGAATAGTTATGTCAATAAACCGTTGATTATCCGATATACGGTCGTTTCCGTAAACTTCTAAGGTTGTCGACTCGTCAGTGATCCATGAACATTGTTCTCAACAGTAGGCTTGGAAGGGTCTTTTAATCAAAGGAACCTTGTTACATCTCTATCATCAGGTTGCAGACCCACTTGAAGGAATGCTTTCTCTACATCTGCATCTAGAGCCACTTTGGGAAGCCTGAACCTCAAGAGAAGGCCAAATAAATCCTCCAAAATGACAGGGCCACGGTGAAGGCCTTCGTTTAGGCTTTAATTTTTCTTCCTGGTCTTTGCGGAGGCGTCAAACACTATTCTAAGTTTGTTGTTGTCTTCTCGGGTGTCAGTATCTCGTGATGTGGAATGTAATATTTCAAGGTGTTTTTACAATCCTCATCTGAGACGATTTCCACAATTCGCTTCTGCACTTGGTCCTGGATCACGGCATCATATTTCTGGCCGGAGATGGTGGTCATTTCGTGACAGTCTATTGAGTTGGGATCTGAACCTTCCCATTGCCAGTTTATAATTGGCTGGTAATGATGGAGATTCTTCTTTCCAAGGCCAGGTTACTTGGTACTGTCCGTTTTCAAAGTGGATTGTTTCGTTAAATTTTTGCAAAGCTTTGTCATCTTCATTTTCTTGTACAGGCTCTCTGATGCCCAGGGTCTCAAGCTTCCAAAACTCTTCAAGCTGTGTCTTTTGTGCAGCTAATTGTTGCTTGTCATCAGACCGAGCACTCAGATTTACACTGCTAGGAGTGAACGTGTAGGTCAGCATTGAGATGGAGCTGTCTGGTTTGTGATCATGACATTTCACTCTGCCTGTTAGGATTCATCCCAGCTTGGATTCCATGAGGTTTAATCCTGGACTCATTGCTTTCATGGCAATGTCACCAAAGAAAATATCACAGTAAGAATCATTTCCTAGCAACAGGTCTGTGTTGGCAGTTTCTGTAGTTGAGGGTATTGAGTCGGCAAGGGGGTTATCCTTCAGTAGGTGACTGAATTTCTCTGGGTTGAAGTACGTTCGTTGCAGGTTACTGGTTATCGTAGGTAGAACATTGATTCTTAAATGCAGAGATGATCCACCCTTTGTTAGAAGCTGGAGTTCAGTGATAGGAGTGTGAAGCTCTCTGGGTTTTGATGCACCGAATGTATACACTGTTAGTGTTTCTGATCCTGTTATTTGCAACTGGAGTTTTTCTGCTAGCTTGTTGGTGATGTAGGTCCTTTGGCTGCCTGAGTCTAGAAGCAATCTTGTGGTCACTTTTCTTGATTTTTGCAAGTTTTCTACTTCCACAGTGGCAGTTTGCATCAGCACTTGTTCGTCAGAGGATAGCAAGATATGTTCTGTAGCAGCAGTAGCAGATAAGGGTCCAGTAACAGAATGTGTCATTTCTGAGGACTTCTCAACTGGAAACGTCTTAATGCAGAGACTTCTGTGGTGACGATTTCTTTGTTTGCAATAATCACACGCCTTCTTCACTGCACAATTTTTCTGTTGGTGTCCTTGTTTTAGACAGATAAAACAGTGCCCCTTGATCTTTTCTTTCCTAGCTGTCACAGTAGGGAACGTTTGTCACTCGTTACCCCAGTGTTGTCCACTGCAATAAACGCAAATAATTTTCTTTCTTCCTGTGAGATTCTGTTGTTGTTTGGTTTCAGACAGTAATGCACCTGTAGTAGTGTTAGAACCAAACTAAGTAACCTGTGATGTAGACCACATGTTTCCAACCGAGCCTTTGTAATCAACTATGTAAGAAGTTTGCCTATCTGCATTTTCCCTGTTACTAATGTACCTATGCGACTGATCTCTGAGTAGCTGCACTGTCCATTCATAGCCATCATTTTTCTGGTCAGTCAGGTGGACGAGAACATCTTTCGGCAGTTTAGCCATTATCAGGGACATTAGTATTTTACTCTTAATATTCTCTCCAAGAGCTTTTAATGATCTAAGGTGTTTTTCAATGAGATCATAGTTCTTACGTAGGGCTGATGTTTGACTTGAGGAGGTAGGTAAATCCATAAGACTATTATAATGAACATTAGGGATGACCTCATTTTGTCCATAACGTTCCTTCAACAATTTTATGGACTGTTCGTAATTTGTATTAGTCAGGAGTAGACCTGAGCTAACATCTGCAGCATCACCTTCTGGCTGAGCTCTGAGGTAATTAATTTTTGCTACTGGACCGACAGATGGATTACAATGTATCGCATTAAGCAGCGCCTTCCTGTCAGCATCTGTCCTTATCATTGCAGGGAACTTACTCACTCTTTTTCTCTTTTCAGTTACCAAACAACCTCGCAGGAAAAGTTTTTTCTTAGTTATGAACGTGGCGTTCGCCGATTTGATGTTGGGAACCTTCTCCGTACCCATGTATAAAAACTCTGTTGGTGAATTCTATCAGCTTTGGACAGCATATTACGGCTTTCATCTGGTCTTCAGGTTCACCGATTCCATTTTTGTGTTCGGCTCATATCTATCTACAGTCTCTATATCCTGCGAGAGATTTTACGTCGTATACTGGCCGTTTAAACATCGATCACTGTCAACCAGAACATACCGCATCGCCATTTTCATACTTTTGACATTCACTGTCTTGCTGTCTACAATACTCAATTTGTTAACTGTTTTTAGTTTATTTCAAACTACTTATTACGTGGGAGTCCCCGTTGTGTTGTGTTGTGTCCCCGAAGTGTTCCTTCACAACAGCAAAACAGAGCCTCGCGAAGGAAACGCTTAAAAAAGACCCTTTTTATTGTATCCACGTTAGCTTTATTAAAAGAGTTTCCCTTACTTATCATAAACTTGTTAATCCTTATAACTGAGGAATCGCCACCATTGAAGGTTTATTTCATAGAGAAAATTTTAAATTATTCCAACTCTTTTTTTCAATCCAGTTGTGTATGCACTGAGAATTCCTGAGTTTCAGCAAGAGCTACGTTTGTGTGGCACTAAGGAGAGAAGAGCCATGAAGACGGGACAAATCGATGGGATATATACCGAATGGCTGTACTTAGAACGCCGGAGATAGAGCTAAGAATGTATCGCACTGATCCCACTCTGCTGCAATCAGAGTTTGAACAAGAAGATATGGAAACTTATTTTTAATTACTTGAGACAAGAGAACCATCGGCTTTGATAAAGAGTAGGGAGGTGCACTAAAAGCAAGAGTTATTGATATGGCGTATTGTCGAAAAACACCCTAAATTTCTGACCTCAACTTCTACATAGGAGTCTTTTAGTCGTCTAGGGTATCTATTTACAGCAGCAGTACACTCAGAACTCAATTTAAAAAAATTAAAGGAAATTAAGAGAAATGTTCAGTCGCAACGTTTTTATCATTCAACGTTCTTTTAATCTAACCCTCCGTAATAAAAGAATTACGAGGCGCAATTTATTTTTCTTTAAGGAAAAATAAGAATCTGCAATCATTATTTTGATTTTATTCCGTTACGAATTGAATGTCGATATTAGGCTTTATCTCTATACTTTTAAATTGGAATCTACAATATTCATCTTTATCTAAACTTTCTGAAAGAAAATAATTTGGTTTTATCAACTAGGTCAATAGTGATAATTGGCCACT